GAATTGGAAACTCTCCTTTCTACACCATATATAGCCACAAAAAAGCTGCAATCTGAAGAATTGATAGGAAGCGAGAATGGAAGAATGGGGTGTTTGTTCTTTTTGTAATGGAGGGTTTATTGCAGAAGGAATCATTTCTTCAATGACAAAAAGAGAAACTAGTTTGCTAGACAATGAGATCTTGCTGGGTTCAATATATGTAGATCCGAAACACCGAATTTTCTTGAATGATGAACAAATTAAAAAGGCAAAGAAAGCCATCTATGAACTTTCATTAAGAATGAAATTATTCTCAGAACAATTGGAGAATTCAAATCAGGACAGTCAAACTGCAGACATTGCAATTGAGTCTCTATCATCCTCTTCCAGTGATGAATTAGATTTTGAGAAATATTTTTGGATAATATTGAAAAAACGAAGGCAAAGCGAATGAAAATAAAGAACCAAGAGCCTTTAGATATAAAAATGATAAAATACAAAAACAATTTCTACACAGCCTTTGAAGAAATAGAGAAATATGATTGCGCTTACAAGACACCTCTTTTAGAACTTATAAAAATCTATCCTGAAAAGTCAAAAGAAGTAGCACTAACAGTAACAGCTCTTCCTCCTACTCAAGTTAGTGTGGAAAGTTCTTCTCAGCTCTGAAGTTTATCAAATCGGATCTATGGTCCTTCAGCAAAGATCTTGCCTAGCTTCTTAGAAATAACTAATGCAGTTTTTCTATTTCCTAATAAATGCTAATTAATATAAATAATTTGCTATGCCATCAATTTTTTCCCTGTAGCATGTATTACTTCTTTTATATTAAAAAAATAAGCTGTAACCCACGTGTATATGTTTACATATATATATACGAGGGAGTCGTAGTCATTAAAATTCCAGGAGTTGGTCATTTTCCCTACTGACTCCACAGCTCTGCTAAAATAAACGTATAAACTTACGTTCCGGTTCTTTTTTGCTACGCATACCACAGGGTGAGCCCAGTCGCTATCGCGAGGCTCTATTAATTCAAGCTAGAGGCTGATCAATTTGCCGATCAACTTTTTTTTTAAGTTTAACTGGGATTCGATATGGGCATAATTTTTTGGGAGTGCACCCGGGAATTATTCTGATAGAATGCCCATCAACTTTTGCACTACCAGGATTGTTACTAAAAACATCTGTGAACTTACATAATATAATGCCAAGTTCGTGACACTTGTCCATGGCATTTTTTAATATCTTTTTGTGTCCTTTTATTTTGGTCAGTGGGAGCATAGTGTATATTTCCAAAGTCATTATCCTGTTCAAAGATTAGTCCTATTTGTTGCACTCTTGACACATATGGACATATTTTATTTACGTGGAATTCCCTCGTGTTTCCATTTTCCAAGCGAACTAAAGCAGAATGTCGTCTTTTGTGAGCTCTACAATGGTGGCTGGTCCTTGCCAGGTATTTAGTAATTTATGCGATGATGATGGCACCAAGACTAACATTTGATCACCTACTTCGAATGTTTTCTCACGTGACCTATTATACCTACGAGCGTAATCACTCTGGTTGTTATTTGCATTATCATATGCTATAGCATGAGAACTTCATAGTTTATCTTGTAAATCATCAAAATGGGATTCAATGGTATGAGAAGCTGTGATTGGTATATCTCTCTTACCAGTTCAAAAGTCTTTCATGTTAAATGTCCTCTTGAAAGATGACCATATACCATTTGGTATGGAGAAAACCCGTGGTACTGTGAGGAACTTCACGATAAGTGAATAACAAGTACGGAAGATGCAAATCCCAATCATGGGTATGGTCTTGAATATTTTTATTCAACATTTCCTTCAGTGTCCTATTCCATCGTTCTACTGCAGCCATACTTTCCGGATGACCTGGCTTAGAATACCTGGGAGCTATTCCCAAAACATCTAAAAAGGCCTTTGTTAGCTCAAAGTAAAATTAGTTCCTTGGGTAGTGCAGATTATATTGGGAAAACCTGTTTGGGTAAAAATTTTCATCAGAACATCACATGTCGTTTTTGCTTGTATGTTTCGTACTGGCATGGCTTCGGCCCACCGTGTACACAAATCTACGGCACAAATAATAAATTTGTGTCCCCTGTGCGAGGGTGGTTCTAGTGGACCAATGCAGTCTACACTCCATATTTCAAATGGGTTCTCAGGTCTTATGATTGGCTGAATAGGAATTCTACTCCATATTTCAAATGGGTTCTCAGGTCTTATGATTGGCTGAATAGGAATTCTACTCCATATTTCAAATGGGTTCTCAGGTCTTATGATTGGCTGAATAGGAATTCTACCTCTGTAGGTAATTGTTCTTCATAGCTGACACTGCCTACAGCTCTCACAGTATCTTTTTACATCACTTTTAATTGTTGGCCAGTAAAATGAATATTTGATGCATTGTTTCGTCTTCTGTTCCCCTAAGTGGCCTGCTAATGAAACATAATGTGCTATTTTCAAAATGTAATCTCATTTACATAAGGGTAACATTATTTGTATCACTCTTTCTCCACAAATCACTTCAAAATGCAACAGTAATTCACCCCCTAAAGTATATAAGTTTTGATTATTCACGGCTAAAGACTAAAGATTTTTCAATGATTCATCTTCCCGTTGCAACTTTATAAACAATTTCCTGTTTGCAGAGTATATCTCACATGTCAGTTCCTGAACAGTGTTATCTTGCATGCCTTCCATAGTCTCACTTAATTTTATATTTTCAGACAGTGCTTGATATGTGGTGCTACATATCAACATATAACTCACAAATGTTTTAGGCACTGCTTAAGTAATTGGTACCTTGTTATGATAGCCATCATTGATTTTCACAGGAACCACTCTTAACGCTGTAGTTTCAGCTTCCCCAAATGCAGAAATAATTTAAATTTTTCTCTCACCATCATCACGGTCATCAGGAACCAAGTCATTCAATCACAGATATTTGAGCACCAGAGTCGACTACTCCTTGAAAGCTTATCTTTCCAAACTCTATTTCTACCCTGTTTAATTTATCAAATTCGATAACATTCACTTCAGCCAAAGATGACATTGGAATACTGGCAGAAAGTAACCTTACATAATTTTCTTTACTCGTTGTTGTTTGTATTAATTCTCCAGGTGACTTTTCTACCTTAGATTTGGTATGGTGTTCCTTATGGGCTCTTGCAAAGTGCATTTCTTCACCACAGACAAAGCATTTCAGTTTTGAAATGAATTTCAGTTTTGTATTAACTGGAATCTCCTTTCGAATTTGTGTTTTTTTGTGGATTTTATATATTGTGATTTCGATAAGAAGAATGTTGCTGATTTGGCCTGCGCTGTTTAAAATTTGAAGGATCAACTGTATTTCGATTGATTCCACAGATTTCCTGTTCTGAAGGTTTACTAGCTCAGTTGCCATGTCGGACATTCTCCTTTAATTTACTACAAGAAGCATATCTCCTGTCATTTTCTCTTATATTCATCTAACCGATCGGTTAATTCGGATGGAGCTACGATTTTAACCCAATCGTCTATAAAATGACATTTTACTTCACTCAATACTCTACTTTTTATTTGATCCGATATTATAAGATTCTTTAATTGTTCAAAGGTCGTAACTTTCAAACCTGTAATCCATTCTTCGAAATAACTCTCTATTTCAAATGAGAAATCCTTCCACGTTTTATAATGTGATTTCTGATGCTGAAAAAAATTTTTGATTGAATTTTTCAGGACCTAACTTAAATCTTTTAAGAAGATCTTTTACATGCTTGTAATCCTCAGCTTTATCGACAGGTTCATGTGCCATTAATTGTGTTATTTCATAAGGCAATAAGCTCAAGAGATGTGAAACCCAGTCTATTTCTTTTACATGAGCTCTACTAGCCTGTCTTTCAAATAAGGTTAAATAAAGGCTTATGTCTCCCTCTTTTGGATTGAATTTTTGCATTAACTTCCGGAGTTCATAACACAATCTCATATTCTTATCAAACTGTCTGAAATTGACCGTTGCCTTTGCACTCTTACTAGCTGTTTCGATCCGTAACTTCTCAAATTTGTAATCCATTTTCCTTGCTTCTAATGCATCTCTTTCGATTCTTTCGTTCTTAATGGTGTTTAATAATTCCACTACAAAATTCTCTTCATACTCTTTGCTACCTATAATTATCCTTTTTTGATCTACCACTTTATATTCCGAAAGTACCTTCTCCCCAAGCTCCTCCACTAAGATTTTTATGTCTTTCTTTTTAACTTTACCCAGGAAAGCCATTCTTAACACTTTATAACAAGTTTCTTACTAATAACTAAAATTATAATCACTAACTTAAGGTAAAATGTATGTAACATTTCACAAACTTATACTAATAAAACACAATCATATACTAAAATGCATTTAAAAGTTTTACCTTTATCTACTGCCTTAAAAAAAATTATATCTTGTACAACATTGCTATCTTTACAACCCTTTTAGTTAAAATTTCAATTTTACCATGACAATATTTCGTTTATACAAATAAAGCATTCTTAGTAATAATACTATAATCCATCAACAATTCTAAATAAATAAATGGCAAATTTAAGCAATATTTCAATTCATCCAACACTGAACGAAAAATATCGGTTTTCACATTTAGAATTCATACAGTTATTACTTATTCACACCAAACTATAATAACTCATATATTTTACTTTAGAAGAAACCACTGTAAAGAATTCTCAGAAGTAATAAGAATACCTAGATTATTTTGATTGATTTCAGAAATAATCAGAAGTAGTATCTATAATTTATCACAATTTTTATGAATACAATGGCTAACTTTAACAATATGTCAAACTAATCATTTAGAACATTCTCAACTGCAATACTTGCAACTTATTACAATTCTAAAATGAGTAAAACAAAATGGCAAACCTATTGTAAAGAGAAAGTAGTTCTTTGTAATGTTATTTACATATTTGATTAATTATATGTGATAATCCAGGTTACAGTTAGAGGTTGCTTCTTCTTTCAGAGGGAGTGAAGGAGATATGGTTAACATCAGAAGACTTAGGTGCATATGGTCGAGATATTGGAGAAACTCTACCAAATCTGTTATATAAATTAGTTGAAGTTATACCTGATGGATGCATGCTTAGGCTTGGAATGACAAATCCACCTTACATTTTTGAGCATTTAGAAGTAAGTTAATAATGTTTCATAAAGCTTTCAAGGAAATTTCAAACCAAACAAATATACAGTCACAAAATAATAATAATAATATAATCTCGCTATTCTTCTCTTACTAACATTAGCTGAAAAGTCAAAATTTTAACTATCCAGACCTATGGTAAGTTTTATTATCTGTATGGCTTTGTTTATTTCCTCCATCCTGTTGTCTTATTTTTAAAGTTTTTTCCGTTTTTGTTTAGTATTTTTATTAATTGTGTAGTATTCTGAATGTTTTAAAAATATGGTCATAAAATAAATATCCTAAACTTGCAGATTTTTGACTGTTTTCCGTCATCTGATAACACCATGCAACTTAATATCTATATTTGCCACTTTTACATGTTTGAAAATTTAATTAAAAAAATCTTCGCATGATTTCTTATAGCAATCATGTCTGAAAATGTTCACTTTTTTTGAGAATATAAATAAACATTAATATTGTACATTGCACCTCCAAGATGAGCTGCTCCATAAAAGATCAAAGTACTCTGGTAGTGTAAGCAGTTGTCATAGAGAGGGCTCACTAAAGATTAATGACATATACTATAAAGACTGTAGATTTTATTACCTTTAAGAGATGCCACTGTAGATTTTAAGAAAGAAGAAGAAAATCATTCTTTTTTTCTTTAATTAGTCTCTATAAATACAAATTTTTGTAATTTCTTTCTTTTGCATTACTAATACAGGGTTATTCAGAGTAAGTGATCAACTTTCAAATTGTTTTATTTTTTAACTTCATTTTAAATAAAGTGGGACAAGTAATAATTAAATTTTAAAAATGTTCTAGGTTTCACTTGCATGCAAGTTTTTTGTGGTACTTCCTATACATATCCATGAGTACTCCTGTACATATACATGTGTGACTATCCTTCACATAAAGGGAAGATGATAATACATAGATGTAGTCAAGTATAAAATGAGTGTATGAAGTTAAAAAGGGAATAAAAAATTAATGTTCATTTATTTGTTTGGGGGCATTCAGTGTCTACTGGCTTCTGAGTTTTAATTTCTATGAAGCATTGGGATTCCATTTTGTGAAACTTTCTCTTACTGAAAAGCCATAAAATATGATTCTTAGTTCAAATTTTTTTATACTTTGTGGTAGTCAACAAATAAAGGAAGTTAATAATTGTATAATTTTCCCTAGATCAGTATTTCTCAATTTGGCATTTGTATACAGTAAAATGTTTGAGTACAAAGCATAAGTACTCAAAAGTTGCTGCAGAGTTTCTAAATGGGAACACTTAATAATTCTTTCTGTTAATAAACTTCTCAGAAATGAGTTTCATCTTGAACTGCTTTCAAAAATAATACAAGAATAGGCTGGATTTTGGGGATTACTTGCTGGTTTATGTTAATTCTTTAAATATCAAATGCTTCACTATACTCTAGTCAAAATACAGTGGGAATTTCTTGCAAGACTGAAACAAGTTCCATGTCTTTTTCAATTAATCCAACAATCTGAATCTTCCAAATTACATAATATCTAATTTTCATAAAGAAGCCTCTCAAAAGAATTTTTGGGACATCTAGCATTAAATTGCTTTGCTGCCACTGACTTATCATCTAATTTTTTCATAAACGTTGGAGTTGCAGTACCATTGCTGCTTCAGTGTTTTTGAGGTTGGGGATTGTGTCAGATAAAGATTTAAGACATTGTACTGTCAATGCAAAAAACCACTTTTGCCTCTGCTGCTGGTATTTTCATTCATTTCCTGGTACAAGTGAAGACTGGTCACCAAACTGTTCCATAGTCCCCTGGGAGCACTTTTAATATGATACTAGAGATGCTGCTGGTCATCATGATTGAGCTTGTTGTAAGGATGGTTGTGAACTTGTATATTAAAGTAGTTAATCATTATGATGGGGGCTGTAGCCCCACTGAGAAATTGTGCCTAGTTGAACCCTTTATCACATTCTGGGGCATGGGGGGAGGCACTGGGGCATTTTCTTTAGGTGTGCAGAGGCACATGTCCTTTTCATATTTATATTCATTAGTCTGGGAGACTGGCTATAGCCTGCTTTACTGTGACTGTCTCACAGCATCTTCCCTTGGTGAAGAAATCATAATTGTAATGCCACTACTGCCTCGGTGTCCTTGGGGATAGTAAATAACCTTAGGGATTAAAGTGAAGTTTGCAGAGTAGAAGCCAAGCATTGTACTGTCAATTCAAAAATGCACTTCTGCCTCTGCTGCTAATATTTGGATATGTTTCTTGGTGCAAGCAGCACTGATTGATCACTGAGCCACTTCAAATTCTTTTGCTATAAAAAGGTATATTTTCTAGAGGATAGGGAAATTGAAGCCCAACTTTTGAGATACTTACAATCTATTTCCTCGTGCATTCTTCAGAGTAGGGTAGTCTGCAGGCTGTGTCAATCTTGGTGGCTGTCTGTTTCACTGACAATGCAGCTCAGGCCTCTAAGCCATGAACAGGTTAAGTAAAAGTAATCCCAAATATTGATAAATTGTGCAAGAATAAATAAGCACTACCATTTCCTTAATTATCGAGTAGAATGTGTAAAAATTTGTTAAATTGTCTTTCTACTTTGAGTGCATTTAAATATATAATTTATGATATGTGATTTAAATTCTGTATTTGTTTTTTTTTTAGATATCATTGTATATTATAACTATAGTTTTGTTGTTCTGTACAAAGATATGTTTAGTTTTATTCTCATTTTCAGGGGGTGCATAAACATAAAAATGTAAGATGTTGCAGTATATTTTTACATAAGAAATAAGAATATTTAGTTATTGTCGACTGCTGTGACACTGTCTGTCTTTCTAAACTTGAACTGCTTTAATATATTTTAGGACATGGCTAGAATATTGTCACATCCCAGAGTATATGCTTTTTTGCATGTACCTGTTCAATCAGGAAGTGATTATGTCTTAGGTGAAATGAAGAGAGAGTATTGCATAGCTGATTTTAAATATGTTGTTGACTTTCTGCGGGAAAGGTAAGCGATGCTTAGTATAAATTGTTATTATTCTATGTTGTATATGCATCTTACACTATTTGATGAAGTTATATTAATTCTCAAAATGAGTCATAATGTAAAATCATTGTCTTCAATAAAAGTTCAATAACCTAACATGTTCATGATGAAATAATAAAGGATTATTAAATATGCTGGGTTATTGGACTAATTTTTTTTTTATATTGAATGTATTAAGGAATGAAAAAATTACATATGATCATTACTACACATACCTTATAGTTCACTATATTTAATCAGTTTTTGCTTGGTAATCTTCATTATCATGTGTACATGAAGTTTCTTAAAATTTCTTTAATGTCCACCTGCTTCATAGATTACATTCTTTTTTTAAAAAAAAATGGGTCCTATAAGATATTGCAAGCTATAAGTATCCATTATTTTTCCAATATTGTATTTTTGCTACTTTCTAATTATCTGCACCCACTGAAAAGTTGTGAATTCTTCGGCGACTTTGGAGAAAAACTTTGGTTTGGTTATCTTTGTGTCTCTTTCAACAGGGCATCCAGTGGCACTTATTTCTTTTACATTATTATTACTTCCTTGTATGAAGTAAAAAGGAAGTATTGTAATCGCGAAAAGTTTCAGGCAGCATATTTCAACGAAAATATCCATTTTGACCGCTATCGAATGCAATTTAACGATGTTTTTGCGTGATATCTGTACGTAAGGACAGAATAAAAGACTCGTTTCCTCAAAAAAAATTATAAAACTGCTTTAAAATGAATTCTGAAAGAGAATTTTTCGTGGTGTCTGTACGTACGTATCTCGCATAACTCAAAAACGAGTAGCCTCAGAACGTTGAAATTTTGTATATAGGACTGCTATAACATGTAGATGTGCACCTCGTATTTTGGTTGCAATCGGCCGCACCAAACGTATATAAATATATTATATATATATCCACTCTGTTACCCGGCTCAGTGATCTCAGTTTACTCTTATATGTTTGTAAATTGTACATTTTTTGCTTTAAAAATGATTGAATTATGTTGTTTTTATCTTCCGGTTAAGGTTTTTATGCCTTTAGTAAATCTGTATGCAATATTTTAGAATTATCAACAATTTTAAAGTTGTTTAAGTGCGCTAAGCCTAATTTTTTATGGCGGCCATTGCTTGTTTACATTTGAAACAGCAGACTAGTGGATTTGTTGCCAATCTAGAGAAACTTAGCTTCGCAACAACAAAGATAACGCCTTCATTTATTATTGCCAATTAAATCATGCTTAATCCTTTCTGGAAATTTTTCGAGGAAATAAGTGTTAAGATTTACTTCGTAATTTTTAATACAGATATTTTGAGTTTTTATGTATTTTTGCCTTGTTGCCAAGTGAAAACCTGAATTAATTGAATGAGAAATACTCAATCGTCTGTGGAAAAACTGTTTCTTTTTTGTTTTTTTTTGCTTAATTTCTTTTATACATCGTTCTAGCTTTATTATAGTATTTGAATAGAAACATGTGGCAACGATTAGATATTGTATTCTTTAAATGATATAAATTTTGTGCATTATGAGCTATAATATGAACGAAATATAATACTGTTAAGTGAATCTAGTACCAGAGTGTCGCTATGGTAAACAAATACTAGAGTGAATTTTAAAGAATGCATTTATTCTATTGTGGTTTATGCGCTGTCAGCGAAGTAGATTTAATTCAGTCTAATAAGTTTAAATGAAATGTAAGAAAAAATGTGTATAATTTAATATTCCGTACAAGGAAGTCATGTGGTGTACACATCAGATTTTTTTTTGCATAGGAGACATGTATACTTCTCATTTCTTGTGCAGCTGTTCTTTCCATGTTTGTTTTAACTTTAAAAAAAAAAAAAAAAAATTCTGAAGAAAAGTTGAAATTTTAACAGACACTGCAAAGAAATGAAAATAAAAGAGTATGACTCCACAGTTCCATTATGATTCATTACAACAAAAACAAATTAAACAAGAAATAATAGGGGAACCAGAAAGTAATGTCACTTTCTTACATTGAATTCAAACGAGTACATTTTTAACAAGTTTTTATTTTTAATCAATAATATAATCACCCTCATTTTCAACAACCTTTTGCCATCTAATGTGCAGATTTTCAATCCCGGACTGATAAAAATCAATTGGTTATTGAGTAAAATATCTCAAAAGGACATTTTGAACATCATCCAAATTTTCAAATATTTTGCCACTAAAATAATGTTGTAGGGATCCAAATAAGTGCAAATCCAATGCTGTGATATCGGCTGAGTATGATGGGTGAGTATGGTAGTACCTCCCACCCCAGTTCATTAATTTTTTCCGGTGTTCGTCTTGCACAGTGCGGTTTTGCATTGTCGTGTTGCAGAATGATGCCTTTTCTGTTGACAATTGATATTTTTCGATTAAAGATTGGTTCACTCAATCCAATTGTTCACAATAAAGGTCTGCATTAACAGTTTGTCCAGGTTTCAGGAATTCAAAATGAACAATTCCGCGAATACTCCATCAAACACCAGAAGCGCCTTTTCGGGATGTAAACCCTTTGTAACCCCTATTAAAACTGCCTTTTGAGTTTTGGATTATCATATAGGACTTATTTTTTTTTATCTCCACTAATCAAACGATCAAAAAACGATTCTGTGTGTGTCGCTGAAGCAATACGTTGCATGTGATGGATAGGTTGGCTTTGTTCTTTTCGGACAGCTTATGGGGACTCAAACACCTACTTTGCTTATTTTTCCATTCTGCTTTAAATGTTCGTGGATGGTTGACCAAGGTGAGTTAAAAGTGTTTGACATGGATTTGCTTCCACTTCTGCCCTTAGCATGTTGTTGTCGACATGCACAGAAATGACATTACTTTCCAGTGCCTCTATTACTTTTCAGAAAATTTATCATTGCACATAACACTCACATGCTACATGCATATCTAGGTTGCCACATAAGTACTTTTTTGTTAACTTACTGCATTGACTCATCAATACTGTATCAGAGCTTTTTATTGGGGGTTACAGATGATGAGAATTGATGATCATCTTTACCCCCACTCAGAATCAGTTTTTCAATACATTTTAAGTAAATAAAGCTTAGCAAAATAGACAGTGTTAAAAAAAAATTGGAACAGAGTAGATATTGAAAATGGTAAAAAAAAAAAAAAAAAAAAAAAAAAAAAAACATGAAGCAACTGCCCTTACCAAATGAAATGCTATTAGTGCCACTGTATGGTAGAAGTGTCTGTGATAGGGTGTTGGATTATCAGATGTGCTTAATCATTGGGTGTCAGATTTTCAGATTGCTGTGTTATGCTTTAAGGCAGAGTTGATCCTTCATTAAAATAGATTTGAACTGTGTATCTCCATTTATGTATGATTTTTTTTAGTAAGTATGGCAGAAAATTTTTTAGGGAATTTGTAACAGCTTAAAATTTTTTTAGATGAACTGCATTGGCTAGAAGTATGTTAAAAAGATGAAGAAACCACTGGATATCTCATGAATGCATTAATATATACCAGTATTAGGATAGTATCTGCTAGTGTATATATATCCGGAATTTAAAGTTGAGCAGCATTTTAGCAGTATAGAGGAAGCTTAACATGAAGACAAATATTAGCAACTATTTGTCTCCCAATGCATATAACAAGATAATAACTGTCAGTAAAAATTCAGCCAATTCAACCACAAAAATATAAGATCTAATAACATAACATTCAAAAAATATTTGTAAGTATTTTCAGATCGATAAGGCTTTAGGAATTGGCTGGTAATATTTAATTTTAATATAAGTGAAGGGAAAAAAAAAGCATGTACTCCATCTGATTAATTTTCTTTTTATGCCTTTGGATGCATTGCCTTTACATAAGGAAGGACTAGCTACCTTTTGCCTGTTCCCATAGATGCTCTAAACATAGTATTAACTAGAGCAGTAAATTTTAAGAAACTTTACCTTTTTCATAATTCTTATGAGCAAAATGAATATGCTTTATATGTTTGTATTTTATTCCGTGTCCATGAAAGTGTTCTTCAGATACATGAAAAAAGTAAAATATATTGATACAGTAATGCTGAGTTCAAAATTTGGAAAGGGAAGCAGTATGAAACAAGTGTTAACACAAGATGTAATTATAGAACATGTACAAGTAAGCCATGAGGTCACTTTTATGAAAATATGCACAATTCTGTGATCTCAATTATCTGTCTATCATATTCCTTGAAATATATTTCCAAAAGAAACAAGAAATAATCACAAGAGATATATTTATGTCATGTGTTCTCATTTGTATAATTATAAAATATTATGCCCATCATTCCAAAATGAAATATTAAATAGTTTCAAAAAGATTAAAGATATGCAAATTCAGAAATGGTCTTTTTGCCAGTTTTGTGTTCTCTTGAAGACAGAAGAGCTTTTAATTATTTATTTATTTTTATGGCATCCATCAAATTAAAAAATTATTTATTTAGTATGGCAGCATGACTTTGGTTTTCCTTTCTTATCTGATTTTTGCAGATTTATCAGAGCATATTATGAGTTATTATGCTCATGATCTTTGTATTTAAAATACAATTAAACATTGGATCAAAAATTTTGTTCAGTTTTGAAGGCCGTTTGTTAAACAAAATGTTCATAAATTGAAACATTTTTCCCCATAGTAATTAATGTAAAATAAATTTAATTTTTTCCAGAACCACAGAAGATTATTTATTTACATTTTATAATAGTGCTTTGTGCATAAGTTCATAATTCAAAACCAATGGAAATCATTAAATATAAAACAAAAAAGATAAACACAATATTAAAGAGATAAAATAGATGAAAACCTATTTAATTCTACTTCATTTGTACAAAGGAAAGTGGTTAGTGTAAATGCAAAATGAAGAAGAAGATTTTATTATTTGAACGTGCTATCTTCATAAAAACATTAGCTAACTGCTGTCTTTAGGGGGATATCTTTTATCCTTTTGGGGGGGGGAACTATAAGTACCACTTGACTCTGCTTGACCCTTACTGGGTTTCTGTTTGAGTGAACATTTATGCTCTGTGATTTGTTGTTACCATTTTGATTATATTTGTTGTTACCATGAGTTTGAAAATGTTTCTGATGTGAGGCATAACACTGTCATTGAAAATGCTTATGTAGTAGCTGCTGTTCCTTTATCAAAGTGGTATTATAACCTAAAAGCATTGCATCTTTACAAAAGTTTTGTGAATTAGAAAATTAAGATCATTGTTCTTTTTCCCTCTTCATCCGAAGACATTTATTTCTTCTAGAACCGCTTTTTATTGCTGCTCCTAAAGTTATAATTTTTCTTGTTGAGCTGACTTTAATGGTCTTTTAGTAATTTTCTGGCATCTTCATGGTTAATTCTCAATACTACAGTTTTTCATAGAGACACAATATGATAGTTAAGAAAAGAAAGCCCAAGTGTTAAATAGCTCAAAGTCTCTGCAGCCCAGTCTTGCTGTAATTACATCCAGGACAAAATCATGATCCTATAAGTTGCTTGTTGCCAGGCTTTGTTGGTGGGAGTTAAGCAATGGAAAATATTAAAATGTTTCTTGGAGCTGAAATCACAAAGGGTCTCTGATGGCAGTGATAGTTATGTGGCACAGGCTACATCAACATACCTTTGAAAATCATATGTTGTTGATTTAAGTATTCATAACTTGAGACAGGGTTCATTACCTGAGGCAATTTTTTCCCACATTGTTTGTTTGTGAAATAATCTGTTCATGATTTGAGGTTCCAATGTAGGGTAATTCTTGTCATGGTTGAGTACCTCTGTAAGGGACTAATATATTTGAAAGCATAAATAAACATTTGAATAGACCCTGATCTTTCTGAGATGACGACTTACAGTGAGAACCAAAATCATCTGAAATCATGGATGGTTATTTTACAGAAGGTTGAACATTTTGTTCACACCTAAACTGCTATAGTGAAAACCATCGCACACCTTTGGTGTAATAACTGGCAGGCCTACTCCTAGATGGTAGGCAAGGTATGCAACTACCTACAGCGGCAAAATTTGGGGGCAACAAAACCAACTGAACCACAATAAATAAATAAAAACCTCAAAAAATATATTCTGATTCCTTGAATATAGGAAAAAAAAAAAAAAAGAAGAAGAAGAAGAATAAAACAAAATTAAATACAACAAGCATTGACAGGCTTCTGGCCATTCCTATGTTTTGAGATGCACAGCAGATAAGCACATACAAGCTTCTAAAATCTGGGTAGTGGGTATACATATATGCTACTATGTGATGTGATATGAGAAATGTGCACCACCGCTGACAGGATTTAACAAGCTTTTCCTACCTTCTAATAAAAAAAGAGATTTAAAACCATACATTATTTATCTAATAATGTCCACTGGGTCAATTTGGATTGTGATAGTGATACAGTTTATGTAACATTTACAGTGTAGTGGATATGAAAGGTCCTTTTTTTTTTAGGTAAGTTAGTATTGTTTGTTGTACTTGCACCTTTAACATTCTAATTTCACTCAACAATTTTAAACACAGAATTTAAAAAAAAAAAAAAAAAAAAAAAAAAAAAAAAAAATGAAGAACACATGTCAAAATATTGGCTGGTATATTCAGTATCAAAAGAGTCTGCTTTTGTTACAGACATTTTGGTAATTCAAAAGTGAATTAGTTTTAAAATTGAGAGTTGTAAAAATAGGAAAATTCTTGATGAAATATTAGGAACGGATGAAGACTCATAAACTCATGTAAATAATTTGAAATCATGGATAGAGTTGAAATAAAGGCTAGAAACTTGTATGGCAGTACATTCAACTGTACAAAGATTAATTAATTCTGAAATTAAATATTGGCATGAAGTAATTTTATGCGTAATGTCAGTTATTAAATTGCTTGGTAAAAGTTCTCTATTCTTTCAGGTACAAGTGACAAACTTTATGAACATGATAATGGAAATTTTCAAAAACTAATTCAATTGCTAGCTGAATTTGACTCAGTAATTGAGGAACATTTTTGTAGAATAATGAAAAAAAAAAAAAAAAAAAAAAAAAAGACAGCAACATATTTAGGAAAAAACATTCAGAAAAAATTATTGGACTGTTACATGATAACATAAAGTCTTATGTTATAAAACAAATTTAAAGGGTGAAATATTATTTATTCTTGATTGAAAACATTCATGATGCTTTATTAAGTATTTATAAAAATGTAGAAATAGATAATATGATTCAAGATGAGATCAGTGGTTTATTGATCACTATAAAATAATTTGAAGTTTTAATGTTTGGTCGTCATTTGTTATAAAATTTTGAATCATATTAATCTGATAAGTAAGCTACTTCAATCAAAATTTGATTTATCCAAACACATTGATTTATCAAATAGTTCATTACTTTTTCAAAGAATAAGATTGGATGAATCCTCTGACAGCAAAGCTGAAAAATTGGCTAACAAAGTAAACATAGAAAAAAAACTTTGAATTGAATATAGCACTTCATTATTTTTTACATAAAAAATTAATTTTTCTTTTCATATGAATGTGTAGACAAACTTGTACAAGATTCAAAAGAGAAATTTAAAATAAATTTCTTTTCTTTACAGTAGATCAGGTGATCAGTGTACTGGAGCTGAGATTCAACCTATTGAATAGTCAGAATGACTGTTTTGAATTTTTATACGATATCCCTAAACTTAAAGACGTGTCTAAATAAATTACTGGTACACTGTAAAGTTCTCGAAAATGTCTTAATAGATAACGATTCCTCCAATCTTAATGCCTTAAAATTGGCTGACAAAATAGATCTTGTTTCTTCACTGTTAAAAAAAGAAAGAAGGTCCAGATAACATTCTTAAATTTGTAGTGATAGTGATAAGGAGGTCGCCTTGCACCCCTGCGCACCTGCTGATAAATACGGCAACCCTAGGTAGAATTACAGAGATTCCGGTTGATCGAGTAGTAGCATGCATATTCGAAGTCTCTAAATAAAGATAAATTTTTACTCTGTAATATGTCTTCTGAAAGTTCTTGATGAATACAGTGCGGACATTTAATGTAATATGGGCAACTAGAATCCTGTGGGATCTACAACCATTACTGCAAATTCATTACTTCCTGTACGATTGGGCCAAATTTAAGCATTGCTTTAAGAACCATGCCCATAATTGATGCTACGGGGAAAATATCTTTTTCTAAACTGATAATAATAATAAATTACTGAAGAACAAAGCCTACTCAAAATAATCTTAATGGGTTAGCCATATTAGCTATTGAACCTGAACTGAGTAATGAATTAGTTTTGAAAGAAGTTATTTGCAATTTTGCAGAAAAAAGCTCAAAAGAGGTTATTTTAATTTAGGTTTTAACTTAGTATATTGTACTAGTGTTCTTTATTTTTTGTTGTTTTAAAAGTAATTGTTTTAACTAGTTCCAAAGTTTGTGTTTTTAATTAAAAAAAAATTCGTAAATATTGTATGAGTGTTATTGTCTTAATTCAGCTAGATTAGACCATATTTTTTCTGGGCATAATGTTTATTTTATAAATATGTTTTGACTTTAAAGTTTTTGAAGCTGGGGGGAGGCACTTTCTGGCTTTGCCTATGGTGGCAAAAATGCTAGGGATGTCTTTGTGCGTGGTTTGCATAACATGCTTCAGAGGTCACCAGTCCTCATCAATTAGACATCACTGCATTAGATTCTTGGGCCTAATAGAGTGATGACTGAATTCAATGCACAGCATTTCTACTTGATCATTAATAATCTGTGATGCAGTATCCAAAGTTTATGAGCCAGAAAAATCATGCATTGTTGCATAAAACTTTTACTTTTTTTGTGATTGCAGAAATGTTTACAATATTCGTGTATTTGTGCCTTCATATTTGTTGCATTAGTCACATGTATTGATATCATTCTAGGCAAGTTCACTTGAAGTAACATGATGACTTTTGGATACATAGTGTTTTTAGTTTTCACACTGATGATGATTTTTTTTTTTTTTTTTTTTCTTTTTGTATTTTGTGTCTTCAATATTTTGTAATGATTTTGTCTTAAGTATACCTGTATTCTATATCTTAATAATTTTAACTTTATCATTATAGGGTTCCTGGAATAACCATTGCTACTGATGTAATTTGTGGCTTCCCAACTGAAACATCTGAGGTACAATAAATTGAGTTCAAGATTTATTTCTTGGGTTGACATGATGATTTCATATTTTCAGTAATGATGATATATGCAATCTATCATTTTATATATCTGGATGATGCCATCAAAATGCTGTTTTGAAATATGAAAGTAAATACAAATAATTAAGAATACATTAGTGAAAATGATGCCATTAATAGATTCAATAACCTATTAAATTTAAATTCCTTCCAATTTAAAAAACAAAGAGCAGGAGTGGCCCTTAAAAATGCTGCGTTTTTATGAGTCATTCAGCCATATATTCTCATGCTAAAAAATAAACTAACAGATAAGGTATAAATGTAAAAAGAGGAATTAAAACATACAATACACATAAGAGGTAGAGGTTGCATCGCCAAATGCAAACAGGCAACAAAATTAGTATAAATGCAATCCCCAAAACACACTAGAATGCCTTAAAAAGAAACATGCCAGATCTATCTAACTAGTTTGTAAGTACTGATAGTTCCATGTAATCCGGAATAGGCAAAGTGGAAAACATGAACTGAGGACACCATTTGCATGATGAAATGTGTTGGAGGACTGTTGGGATGTTGGAAGACAATCTGCTGTTGTGAGAGAGCTGAATGTGCATCTAGTGTCATCAGAAGGCTGTGGAATTGTTACCAGAAGGATCAAAACCCATGTAGAAAATGTGGGTCTAAATTCCGGAGGATTACTACTACAGCCAACGATCGCTTCCTGTTTCTGTGTGAAACAGGACACTGACAACACAACAGCTGGCATCACATCTCTTTGCTACTGCAGGATGTCTCTTATACTGCCCAACTGTATCATGTTGACTGCATGTAGTGGACTGTATACCTGACGACCTGTATTTTTGTATTCCTTTGTCCCCCATCACATGTCAGAGTGTGCTTGAATAGGTTCGCTGGTTGGATACCAGAGCAGTGAGGCCAAAAACTCTTTACAGACGAGTCCCAATTCAACTTGAGAATGATTCCCAAAGGGCAATGATATGGCGAGAACCAGGGACATGCTTTCGAACACCAAACATCATTGAAAGAGACCATTACAGAGAAGGAGGCATATTTGTATGGATTGGGATAACCTCTACATGATTCTATGACAGCTCTTCAATATTGCAACAAAATTTTACACTCTCTTGTGCATCCTTTTATCACTGCAATGGGTACCAATGCAGTATTTATGGATGGTAATCCCAGCCCACAATAAAGCACGAGTGGGTCGAAGTTATATGGAGAGTGAAACCATTCCACATCTGCCGGAGCCTGCTAGATCATCAGACCTGAATACCATAAAGCATTTGTGGGACATATTGGGACAACAGATGACACCCTCCAAGAGCTCTGAGATGCATTACTACAGGAATAGTCACCACTGCAGCAACAAGCGATCAAGACTTGCCTTGTCAAGCATGCATTTCAGCTAGGGAATACAATATCCCCTTTTATTAGTGTGATGTTTCCATTGCACATTCTTCTGGCCCATTTGTTCTTTCACAATGTGATGGTCATAAAACATGTGTTTTTTGTATGACTTTGCTTTATTGTTTGTTAGCTGTATGGTTTAGTAATACCATAGCAACCTCTTGGATCAGTTTCACATATATCCATTAAATAGTTTTTGTTTTATTCTGTGTTTTGCCTTTGCTGCTTATTTTGTGAGCAGGAGTGTACACTGGTGTGCAAAAATTAAGGACAAGACGTTTTTTTCAATACAACTTTGTACAAAAGCTTTCCAAATCAAAATAACGTAAGATCCCCAATACGTAAGGACATGAGTAATGTAAGCAACACTTACTAAAAGAGAAATCAGAGGGATAAAAAGAAGCTTTATTGAAAAAGTAGCATGGAGCGCAATGCGACTGAAGGCCGAAACATCCCTGTGATGGGTGTCCAGCAAGAAACATCCGGTCTTTAACAGGGGATATGATCTCCCCTGACTGCTAGGCAGGTTTCACAGTGTCTGCCTATGCTGAGAATGAGGGTGTCAATGAGTTGTTGAGGCATTGCTGCCCATTCGTCTTGCAGCGCCAATCGAAGCTCCGGAATCATTACTGGTGGTAAAGTACGAGCTGCCAAGCGTCTGCCTAGAAAATCCCATACATGCTTGAAGGGATTGAGATCTGGAGATCGTGCCGGCCAATCCATACGTTCAATAGCCTCACTCTCTAAGAGCTGTTCGGCAGCTACTGTGCGATGACATGGTGCATTGTCGTCCATGAAAAGGAACTGAGGACCCATAGCGCCTCTAAAAAGACGCACATATGGAAGAAGAATCTCGTTACAATAACTGGTCCTGTTGACTGAATCTGCGTCGAAGATGTGAAGGTCTGTACGACTACCAAGCATGATGCCTCCCCAAACGAGAACACCGCCACCTCCATACCTGTCCCTTTCAATGATGTTCGAGGGATGATTGCGGCTTCTCCGCTCTCTCCAGATGAGTATGCGATGAGAATCGCTACTCAGACTGAATCTGCTCTCGTCTGTAAAGAGTACTCGTCCCCATTCATTGTCTCTCCAATTCCGCTGTTCCCGGCACCATAGAGAACGCCTTCTCCGATGGGCAGGCGTTAGAGGTACACACCGTACAGGGCGTCGTGCAAACAGACCACCACCATGCAGTCTTCTGGCCACGGTAAAACGCGATATCGGTCGTCCAGTCGCCTGTGTCGTGTGTCTAGCGATTTCTCCCACTGTCTGCCGCCTGTTTCTTCTGGCCTGTAAGGCAATATACCGGTCATCTACGGGTGTGGTTCTCGTGGACGACCACTACTAAACCCCCGGATAGCTGTTCCTGTAGTTTGAAATTGTCTCCAAAGTCGTGAAACGATGCTGTGAGCAATTCTGAACTCTGCAGCCACACTTGTCACACTGCAGCCTTCCTCCAACTTCCCAATGATTCGACCTCGGGTAAAAGCATCCAGATGTCATCTAACAGATTGATTATTCGCCATTTCTCGCTGAGGCAGCAACTTGGTGTGATTTTAACTGCTATACAGCGTGCAATCTCTTTGCCAGAAATACTGATCTTACACCGACAACATGCTTTATACTACTCAGACACTCCCCCATTACGTCTACCTGCATATCTGCACATGTGCTACCGTACATCACCTTACTTAATCTCTTGATTGGTCTTTCTGTCCGCTCTGCCTCTTCGTTCAGCTGATATGCTAATTTTTCGACTTCGTCCTTAATTTTTGCACACCAGTGTACATTGTGAATGTCACGCAGCATGGCCAAAAATAATCAGCATTGTTAATAATATGCTCACAATGCTTCTGTGAGATAGCATGGGAACATTTTCTAATTGTATAGAAATTTTGTTGTTAAAAGTCGTATAGAAATTTTAGCTTCAAAGTGCCCTATTATAATTCAGTTGTTTGAGTATTAGTACTGTCTGCAGGATTGACAAAATTCTTTTGGGGATGATAATATCATTATTTGTTCAGTGTTTTATATGCCACCCCCCTGACAACTGAGCTGGGTATTACGTCTTGCTGAGTTATGGGTAGTAACATTGTTGTATCTTTTTGTTCAACAATGAAAAGCATAATTTTATAAAATGATTCCATTAATTTAATAACCCATGAAATTTTTAATTCCATTAATTGAAATTTCACTAGCTTCAGAATTCAATAATAATAGCATTATTAAAAAATTCATTAGTTTTCATATTAGAATGCATAAATGACTAAAACAAAATTTTAGTGGTACCATCTAAAAAATACTAATTATTTAAAAGTGATATCTTACATGCCACATCATTACTACACTTTCTTTTAAAAATATTTGGGCAAAAATGCTCATGAAATATGCACACAGCTGGAAAAAAAGTACTGACATTTACCTCTTTACAGTTCAGTTAAGTAGTCATTCTAACAAGACATCCATCAGAATATAATTAGTGCTGCCATCTGTTGGCAGAGAATTATTTAATATTCTCTTTTCCTATACTTATTAATGGTTATGTGAATTCCTTTAATAAAATATATTTATAAAGCATTATTTGTATAATTTTTAAATGAAATTTCAGTTTAATACAATGAAATAATCCTTTTTGATTATTATCCCTGAACTATGTGACAGAATTCTTAGGACTATGTGACAGAAATGTGTTACTGGTTTTTACAAAGTACAAATTGTTGTCAGCTTTAAATATATTTTAAAGATGTGCAACGTGAAGTGACTCTTATTATCTTGTTTAAAATATAATTTTAATGAAAACATTTCAAGAAATATGTTTTGATTATGTTAATGAAATGAAATTTTTTTAATTATGAAATACCAGAAGTTAAGTATTATACCAGATTTTTTATCAATGTATCAACAATTCCAAAACAGTGTGTTTTTAAACAATGTACACTGCTGGCCATTAAGTTAGGAGTTACAGCTCTTACATAACCTTGCCTATCTTCATTGTTATAGGAATAATTGGATATAATATTGAGGGATTGTTATCAGACAAATATACACCAACTAAAATCTCAGCACAGAAGAAGAAAACTTGAAAGACAGCTGAAAGAAATGGAAGATAAACTAGCTGTTGAATTATGCATGAACAGTAGGGCATGAAGACAAAATGATTAAATTTATAAGCAGTTTGGGGGATTTACAGGGATGCAAAATTAGTAGAAACAGCTGCCACCCCTGGCAGCTAAAACGGCCCTTACCCGGTTTGGCATGGTGACGAACTGGGCTTGGATGACAGAAATGGGCAATTCATTCCATGCTGCTTCAAGTCTATGCTACACTTCACCAATTCGTATTAGCTGGAAAGGGGTGGCGGGCCAGTCTCTCAGCAACCCATGACCAGATGTTTTCAATGGGTAACAAATCTGGAGACCATGCAGGCCAGGGCAGCAGTCGAATACCCTGTGTATAGAGGAAGGTCAGAACAAACATGCAACATGTAGTTTTGTATTATTTTGTTGGAAGATGGTGTTTGGCAGGTCTCGAAGATAGGGCACAACCACTGGATGTAAGATGTCAGAAATGTACCAATCTCTATTCAATTTACTGTTGATCCAAACTAGAGATGTGTCATGTACCCAAAAGTTTCTCAAACCATCACACCAGGTGCAGGTGACATGCAGTCTCCTCGGAGCCTCCAGACAGTATACAGCCATCAGAATACTGCATGCAGAACCAGGACTCATCTAAAAAGACAACACTGTGCTACTTCTGTACCCAGCTCTAGTGTTCAGCACACCAGAGTCGCCGTCTCTATGTTGCATTGTCAAGGGAAGCCAAAGTAATGGTCGCTGATAATCCATGCTGCTGCAAACGTTGATGCATTGTACAAGCGGATAGTGTACATGCTGCAAACATGCTGATTTCTTGACTAATGTTCTGGGAAGCGGTTCATCAGTTTTGCAGGGCTGATCTCACAATATATCTGTCTAAGGCAATAGTCATGCTGAGATCCTGCATGCCATTCAGTATGATCCTCAGCAATCCATTGATTCCCTATTTGCATGTTGGGTGGTTGGATGTCGACCAGTATGACTGGCGATATCACGGAACAATATCTATGCTTTCGATAGACAACATTCCTGCTTCTATCGAATTTTAAAACTTGCTGGTAAACATTTCTTCTTATTATTTGAGTCATAACACAATATTCTGAACAAACTCTGACTTTACAAAGTGCTTTCCAAATGAGAAATCCACTACACAACTTTTCTTTTATGCAGCGCTTCAGATGCCATTTCTCCCTCCTGCATTGTCTAAATGCACTGAAATAGTAATCATTTGCATATTCCAATCTCTTCTTCCTGTCATGTAACTTTGATGCTCATCAGATCATTCCTGTCTGTTGTTGTAATTTTAATGGCCAGCAGTGTATTCTGATTTCTTAATTGCTTTAATTTTTTTACAAAATTTTGAAAAATTATACAACTTTTCAAAGGAATTAAAAAAGAAAAGTTGTATTTCTGGGGAGTAGAAACCATAATTATCTTTGAAATTAAAAAAAAATAGGAGAAAAGGTATTGTGTAACAAAATTTTAATATTTTTTTATTAATTTATAAACAAATTAAGATCCATATCACTATTAAAATGTGGATATTTAGGTAAAGGATTTAAATCTTATCATATTGTACTGTATGAGATAATCTTAACCCTATAAGCAGCCATATATATGTTTGTCCTAAGATAGTTTTCTTAACATCTTTAAGAAAGCATAAATATGTGCATTTTGAAATATGCCCAAGAAATTAAGGAAATTAAATATAAACATGAAGTACCAAAGGCATTTTTGCATTAAAATCAGGAAAATGCCTCTTTCATTGCAGTTTTGAGAAATATGTGAGTGAAACCTTTGACTAGTTGAAGGGTTAATCAGTGGGGAGCAATAAAAATTTTAATTAAATGCTTTATTTCATCTGATAAAAACAAAATATCAAATTCTAATTAAATGTTGTACTTTTCACAAAAATAGAAACTACAAATAATTATTCATGAACAAGAAGAAATTTTAAAGAAAAATGTTAAAGTATCACAGAAATTACATAAAGTAATGAGTAAATTAACTATGTGGCACTGTTTATTCCAGAAGCTGCTACACACTTTTTTCTTCTTTTTTCATGACAGTTGATCTTTTAGGAAGTTATAAGGCCAAATGATGATTTTTTAAAAAATACTTTTATGTAAGGTTTTTCTTTTATTTAAGGAGATTGTCATTAAATCTCAAATGTATTATACAGTTAGCTTGAAAGTAGAAATAGCGTGGACAGTGACAAATGGTAAAAATGGCTAAAGACTGGTAGTTCTCCTCTGGTTTGAACCCAGGTAAATGGGCTAGTTTCGTGGTTTTCCTTATATGTAACATGAATTTGAACTAATTTCTGTTAAAAAGACATCCCATATTTTAAGAAGCTAGCTCTCCTATGCTCTACCATAATCAAATAACATACATTTTGGAAATATTGTGCATTATGCTAAAAGGTCCTTCAACTTCAGCACTACTAACTTTGTTAACAGTCTCCATAGCTTTTTTAACACTATTAGATATTTCATTATGCAGTTTTTCCATTAAAAACACACAATGAAATCCTGAAAATCATTTATTATTATATCATGCTGTTGTATGAAATTTAATGTATGTATTATTTTTTTTTCTCACCACAGACATGTTACTTTTCATGTTCCATGGCTCTGGACAGCAGACATTTAAAACTGCTTTTAATTCTTTATTGTTGAGTTCTTTACCTTTTTTTATTTTATAATTATTTTGCTTCAGTAATTTATTTTTCCCTTATTTATTTATTTATTTGTTTTTTTTTTTTTTCAAAACTTTTTAATAATTTTTCTAATTGTAATTTATGAAATTTAATCTTGCTTTTAGTTCTTCAGATTTCTTTGATTATAAAATAGCATTAATTTTAGATTTATATTAGTCTTGATAATGTTTTAAATTATTAAAACCATTTATTTTTATTATGATTAAAGAGTTAGCTTTTATAATGCTTATATTGTGTCTTTGTAAAGTTCTGACACATATGATATTTCAGAAAGACTAATATAAGTATGATCATGACATGCAAGACATGCATTTTTCTTGGAATAAACAAATAAACAAGAAAAAAGGGACTCCCAAATTAGAGGCTTATGGAACCTGCTGTTGTTACTGGTCTTAATCCATGGCAAAGGAGCTTGCATTTTTTATATTATTTCACAGGGGGGGGGATTAAGGAGTCTATTACAAGTTGTAAAGTTTTCAAAAAAATACTGAATAACAAATTTATTTTTCATTTTCCATAAATTATACATAGTAAATAGTGATTTTTTCATTCTTTTTCTTTATTTTTAATTTGTAAAATATTATTTTAAGTAATATAATTTTGGTATTAAAGAAGATTTATATGTCAAAGAGAATGAATGGTCTTTTAACAAAATAATTTATGAAGATGAAACCTAATTACGTGTACCCTTCATAAGCAGCACATTATATTGCTTAAAATTCTGAAATTAGAAAATCAACTTTGAGTTCGAAGTTACTTAATGAAAATTGTGACATTTTATGTTAATTCTGAAAAATGATTTAAATGACAGTTCGTCTAAGCATAACTGTTTCCAAAATTTTCTTTTTAGGATTTTGAAGAAACAATGAATTTAGTGAAAGAATATCATTTCCCAGTTTTGTACATTAATCAGTTTTACCCTCGCCCAGGAACTCCTGCTGCCCTTATGAAAAGAGTGCCAGGAAAAGAAGTAATGCATTTTTATTGTGTTTATCTACAATATATTAATATTCACTAAAGTAAATATTACACATTTTTTAGGATATAAATTTTAAAATTATTAATTTAAATTTATTATTACTTATAAAATTTTGATTTATTATTGCCTATAATAAATATCGTTATATTTTTGTTGTGTAATTTCTGTAAATTTCTGTTGTTATAACATTTATTATATGTAGTCAATAAAACCATTCCTAATCATAAATAAATTGTAAACCATAAGAATCATCTATCATTACATTAGTAATAAATAGTAAAATTTAATATTGCTTATTGTTCACATGCATAAAGTTAAATTTTTTAATGAAGAAGTCTGCTTCTGCTAAATTTATAATCTTCAAAAGTTATGTATAAGAAATAGTGATTCTGCAAAGTAAGTTCTCATAAAACTATACCTTATCCCTTATTTTTTACAGGTGAAAAAACGTACAAAAATGTTAAGTGATTATTTTCAGTCCTATACTTGTTATGATAAGAATGTTGGAAGTATTCAAGAAGTACTTGTAACAGAAATTTCACATGATAAATTGCATTTTGTAGGTCATAACAAGTTCTATGAACAAGTAAGTTACTTTTCTGAATTTATATTTATTTTCTCAGTCAAAATTCTTATATATTTATTTGATGCAAATTAAACAAATAAAATTTTTAAGCGTGTTATAGTTCTTTGTTGCCAAATAAAATATTAAATATAGTCTGTATATAAAAATATTTTTTTGTTATTATAATAAAATATAAATGTCAAATATAGCTACAAAAAATTTAACTGTACCAGTAACAAAAAAAATAATTGTTGTACTTTATATGTATGCATATTAAAATTTCTATACAGTGTGATTACAAAATATTAGGCAAAAATGTAAGGGCTGGTGAAGAAGACTGAAAAAAGTAGATTTTATAATGGAATGTATTTGCAGAAATAGCACATTGAGGTAGACAGAATGCTGTCCAGCAGTAGGTAAAAATAATCTGCTGACATAAATCATTCTTGTGTTGCTGCATTATGTTGCAAGTTGGTTAATGCTAGAGCCTGCCATTATTTTCAAGAGCATTAGTTATATAAGATTCTGTGAATAAGATCTTCGTTTTGGAAAAATTTATATTGGTCGAAACTTTTCGCAAGAATCTGTATATCAAATTTCATTGCTTAATTTATTAACATCACAAAACGTTTTCTGAATTGGAAATTTCATTTTTAGTTATACACAGATTTAAATATTTTCCTCTTTAATTTGTGTATGATCCTTGAATTTTCAGGAAGCATTATCTCAGATTTGAAAAGCAAGTATTTACTTCAGTTTTTATGTTATGGGAGTCATACTTGTGTTTTTATATTTTTTAGTATGAACTGTATGAACCTGGAATTTTTTAATATGAATTGTATAGATCTGGGAAACATGCAAAAAATTACATTTGGTAAATTTTACGGAAATTTTTTCCTTTTCTAATGATGAAACTAGCCACCAGTATGCCACTAATTATCAGCTTCTTCAGATTATCCTTGAAAGTGCTGTGTTTATGTATGATTCATCTTCATCAAAGCTTTGAGAATCAGATTTGATTTACCAACTTTTTTTTTTTTCCTTCAGATATTTGCATTCTATCACCGTTTAGCTTAAGAGAGCTCCTCCTGACTCATGCGCCATTTGTGTTTATCCACACAGTGATGACATAACTGTTTATTATGTATGTATATATATGTCTGACTTCTTACTTCTTCGCTTTTCTCTGCTGTACGAAACTAGCTAATCTCTGTCATTAAAAATGTTCATTAATATTACAATCTGTTTAGGCCCATTTATTTTTTCAATGGTCATGGAACCCAGGAACGTTTCAACTGTGCCTAAGTAGTAAAATATTTTTTTTAAAATGAACATTTTCAAGTTTTCAAGCATTTAACTCTTAAGCCTAATCCAGTGCAAGAACTGTTAAGCCTAATCAATGCTAAGAACTGATCAGCGTTCAATTAAGCCTATTTTTATATCCCTCAATCTTGTTTTTGGCTGTGAGAGACTGTATTACATTATTTCGCATTTAACGACTACAGAAAAGCTCGGGAAAGATAATTTTGACAGCTGGAAGTTACGAATAGAAGCTGTATTGATTAAAAACGACCATTGAGATTATGTAACCGGTAAAGAGCTAAAACCTGCTGAAGGAACCGAAGATGAAAAGAAATGGCTCCAAGCTGATCAAAAAGCTTGTGCAGATATAATTCTTGCTATTAATCCTAGTGAATTGTGTCATATAAAGCATTATGTGACATCCAATGCTGTGTGGAATAAACTCAAATCTGTATATGAATTGAAAGGACTGCGAAAAAAGGCTACCTTGTTAAACCAGCTTTTCTTTAGAAAAATGGCAGAAAGCAAAACGATGTCTGAATATTTGTACAATTTCTTCAAAATAGTTGATAAGCTTAAACAAATGGAAATTGACGTAGAAGGGAAATCAAGGTTCTATGATGGCTTCTAATTATGAAGAGCAGATTAGTTTAGCAGTAAACAATGCTTATCAGAACACTTCCTCATGGTGCTTAGATAGTGGCTGTACATCTCGCATGTGCAATGACAAAATTTATTTTCAGAATTTCACCCTCAAACGAATTCAACCATAAAGCTAGTAGTTGACAAAACAGCAAACATTACAGGAACTGGAACTGTCCTTATAACAGTACCTAATGGAAATAAGACAATTAAACTTACACTCAAAAATGTGTTCAATATTATAGCTACCGCAAATAATCGTTCAGTGATTTTTACAGAACAGCATGCTAGAATAATAGAACCAAGTGGATATACACTGGTGCAGGCTATTCCTTATGGTGATCTTTATTACATATATCCAAGCACTGAAATGGCTGCAATAGCACAGGTAAGTGGTTTTGTAAAGTGGCATCATTTAAATGAGTCTGATTTGAAAAGCCTTGTCTGATAATATGGTTAGAAATTTAAATTTCAATAACACTGATTCTCTAAAAAACTGCAAAGTCTGTATCCAATGTAAACAACCTGTGCAGGCTTTTAAAAAAGAATCAAAATTTCAAAGTAATGAATTACTGAACTTGATTCACTCAGATTTGTGTGGACCTATGAGAGTCCCATCCCATGCTGGTTTGCATTATTTTTGTTACCTTTATAGACGACAAATCGCGTTATGTCGAAGTCAGTTTTCTTAAAACTAAAGATGAAGTGAAAAATGCATTCATTAAATACAAAGCTGCGGTCGAAAATCGTCTAGGAAAGAAAATAAAAATCCTTCGGACTGATAACGGTCTCGAATATCGCGGAGAAGAATTTAATAAATATATTCAAGAATGCGGGATTAAACGAGAATTCTCTGCACCAATGACTCCTCAACAGAATTCGAGAGCTGAACGCATGAACCGCACTTTAACTGAAATGGCCAGATGTTTGTTACTACAAAGTAATCTTCCCCAATCCTTTTGGGCTGAAGCCTTGAACTGTGCTGTTTATATTCGTAATCGTTGCCCGAATCGAAGCCTGGGAGTAAACAAAACACCTTATGAGTTATTTTTTGGCATCAAGCCAACTGTATCTCACTTCAAAGTATTCGGACAGAAATGTTTTGTACTTAATAAAAGGTCTAAAGGGAAATTCGATCCTCATTCAGAAGAACATATTTGTAGGATACTCAAATGAATCGAAAGCATACAGGGCTGTGGAATAAAAATTCCAGAAAAATCGTTATAAGCCGAGATGTTAGATTCATTGATGAATTTGAAAACTGTATTAATTATAATAAAGATTTAAAAGTTTTATTTCTCGAAAATATTCCTGATAAAAAGAAGGAAGAACCTTTGAATGTAAAGCAAATATCAACTGATGAAATAATAGAAGACCCCTCAAATATGGCAGAAGCATCTGATAATGAAGATTCTGATTCCGAAGCAATACCTTAAATGCAGATTAAAAGGGGGCCAGGTCGTTCAAAGAAAATCAAGACTGGGAAGCCAGGAAGACCGAAAAAGGAGTACAACGGAATATAAACATAGAAAAGGGAAGAAGCACAAATTGCTGGAGAAGGAACAAAATTAAAAGAAGCATTAAATGGAAGTTATGCTGAAGAATGGCATAAGGCTATGCAAAGTGAGTATGAAGCACTTGTTAAAAATGGTGCATGGAAATTAGTAAAGCGACCACAGAACAAAAAGGTAATAGGATGTCGCTGGGTTCTTAGAACGAAATATAATGCAGATGGAACAGTTCAAAAGAGAAAAGCTCGATTGGTTGCTAGAGGATTTGCACAGGAACCTGGAATTGATTTTAATGAAACCTTTGCTCCAGTAGCCAGAGCAAGTTCTATAAGAACTGTGATTGCATACAGTGCTGAACAAGATCTTATTTTATATCAACTAGATTTTGTTATGGCTTATGTTAACAGAGATTTAAAAGAAGAAATTTTCATGGAACAAGCTAAAATAATTCTGATTATGTTTATGCCCTGCAAAAGTCTCTTTATGCTTTGAAACAAAGTGGACATTAGTGATATGAAAAATTAGACCAAAAAAAAAAAAAAAAAACCTTTACAATTAGACAAGTGTGTTTATAGTATGAAAACATCTCAAGGTGAGTCAATTTTAATTTTATATGTGGATGAATTAACAATAGCAACAAATAGCTGTGATTTATATTTCATGTTAAAGATTTAGGCAGACTTCATTATTGTCTTGGAATAGAATTTAATCAAGATGTAAATAATAATTCTATTAGTTTATCTCAGCAGAAATATGTTGATAACATTCTATGAAGGTTTAATATTCAAGATGCAAAACTAGTAGCAACTCCTTTAGATCCTAGTGTAAAATTAAGTAAAGAAATGTGTCCTTCTGAAACTGAAAAGGGAGAAATGAATAATGTACCTTATCGCCGTCTAATTGGTTCGCTTATGTATCTTTTCTGTGTTTACTAGGGCCGGATATTACATATGCCAGTCAGTCACCTGAGCCAATTTAATAACAATCCTGGAAAATTACACTGGTTGGCTGCAAAGCGCGTTCTTCGATACTTAAAAGGAACTAAAAATTATTGTTTAAAATTTCGAAAGACTGGAAAAAGCACTTATTGGATATACCGATGCCGACTGGGCGTCTGATGTTAATACTAGAAAATCGTATACAGGTTTATTCAAGCTAGCTGGAAATCCGATAACATGGGAATCACGAAAGCAACAAACTGTTGCATTATCAAGTACTGAAGCAGAGTACATCAGTCTTTCAGAAAGTGCCAAAGAAGCAGTTTATTTACGTCGTTTTCTTAAAGAATTAAATTTTACTGCTGATTATCCAACCAACATTATATATTGTGATAATCAAGGTGCACAGAAGCTTATGAAAAATGCTGTTTATCACTCACGCACTAAACACATAGATATTAGACATCATTTCATTCGTGCAAAATTTATGAAAGAAATGAAATAGACATTAAATATGTGGCAACAGAGAAAATGCCTGCTGATGAACTGGCAAAAACACTGATTGCTTCGAAACATTCTAAGTGCTGTAAATTAATTGGAATAACTGTGAATGATTAATGTTTATTTTTTTTAGACCACCAAATGTTGAAATGGGGATTGTTGTATCATAAATTATAATATGGCGTTTACCTTAAGAGCACTTCTCCTGATGCATGTGCCATTCGCGTTTATCCGTGTGGTGATGACGTAACTGTTTATTACGTATGTATGTATGCCTTCTTACTTCTTCGCTTCTCTCTGCTGTACGAAACTATGTTTAAGCCCATTTATTTCTTCAGAAAAGAATTTTCACACAAGTAATTTATTATTAATTTTTAAAGTCTAAAATATGTCACTAATATTCTAATAAAGTTTTATTACTTTAGAAAATCATAATCTCATAATGATACAAAAAAAATCATTCAACTATTTTTCATTTTTTTATAATTGAAATAATATTATAAGTTGACTGTATGCCAGCACTAAACCCTGCCAGTGTTTTCTAGAACACAAACTAAAGTTTTCCAAAGGAAAATGATAGATTAAAGAATAAGGTAAAACTGTGTTAACAGTTGTCAGCAAAGCATGATTAACCACCATTTTTAATTGCAGATATTAGAAGATATTATTCCGGTAAGTAATTTCTTGGTCTCTAGGCTTTTATTTGTAATTACTTGTGTTAGAGATAAATGAGAAAGAGTTAATGCCTCCTGAGGGAGTCACTTAATTTCATTTAATCATCAATAATTATTTTTATAATCTTATAAAATTATTATTAAGTTTTTATGTTATAATCTTACAAATTTTAAGCTATTTTTTCTGACATCACAATAGAGTTTTCACACTTGTTACATTTTTACACTAATTAGTCTCGGCTTAAAAATAAAATATTTTGATAAATTTAATTAATCTTAGCTGCTTTACCACTAGCTTTTAGATTTGAAAGTCCAATTTTAACTCATTATTGCATATTATGTTGCATGTATTCTTATTTCCAAATCTTACTTGATACAACTGCTTGCAGTTTTTATACTTTTATCATTGTTAAATATTTTATTTCTTATTTTGTTTTAATAAAAGGTATTGGTCCCAAAGAATGAAGAGTTCATGGGAAAATTTATTACTGTTCACATAAAGAAAGCAGGCAAACATTTCATGGTTGGTGAACCCATTTCTCAAGAAGTTTCTCACAGACTCAAAAACTGGAAAAATTCTAAATATGTCATTTTATTATGCATTTTAGTTATAATTTTAGCTGTTTTTATTGGACTATTACAAAATAAAATGTTATTTTAAGTACATGTCTGTTAATACATGAAAGCATATGCATATTGATGACATGGCAGTAACATTCAAATTGTTTTCTGCTGATTTGGGATTCCAACCAACTCTGCTAAGGGTTCCAAAAGTCAATCAAAATTCTTGAATATCATGCTTATTGTAAAACTAAGCATTTAAAATCATCTGTGATATGTGATTGCAAAGCAAAAATGCAATAATAGAAAGATTATCCTAAATCTTGTATACGAGGAAAAGAATGCAGAAACCCCCATTCAGAAGACAGAACTTGAGAAGGGTTTTAAATATTGACACGAAACAATCCATTAGGATCAAAATAGATTCTTAAAAGTAGATGTAAGCATGCCACCCAACCGGGATAGTGGTTAGCGGCGTTGACTGCCGTACCGAAGGGCCCGGTTTTGAATCTTGGAGAAGACATGGATGTTTGTAAATGTATAGTGTCTGCACGGCATGGGGGCACTCGAAATACACGGCGAGGCAAAAGTTCTCTCGAAAGGTTTGTGGTAGGAAAAGAGAGGTGGGAGACCCTCGGACCTGTTCCTCCATAATGCTCCATCAAAATTGGGGGCAAAACTTAGCTAAATCGTACTATTAATGCTCCATCAAAATTGGGGGCAAAACTTAGCTAAGTCGTACTATTACTTGTAAGGTGCTCAAGGCTGTTGCCAACGACAGGCGTATCTTGCACTCCTTGCCATGAGGAATTTCGGGAGCATGGGCTGACTGTAGGTCACATAGTGAGCATTAGTCAACAACAACAACATGTTATAAAAATGTAATACTGCAAGCAAAGTGCAATAGTATACTGAACACATTGGATACCAAATATATTGCTGAACACTACTTATTATCTTAAAATTAAAAAAATATATATATTAATTTAGATATATAATAAGTTTGCACTGAATAAACTGTTGTTTGCAGCATTGTTTACGACAAGGTTCAAACTGCGATTACAAAAGAGCACAAAAAATGCTCTAAGGTTGATAGCTAGGGATATATCCAAAATACACATTTGCATGCCACTATGTTGTTGACAAAGATATAGCTTAGAGTTTCAACCGGCAATGCTACATTTCCTCCAAAAGTTTGCAAAAACTGCAGTTCATGCATAAGATCTATTTACTGTTTATATGGCTTTGATTTTTATCAGTTAATGCTTTTTGAAGCTTTTGATATAAGTTAAGCTGATCTTGTAAATCTATGTGAACGAAAATATGTGATGCAGATGCTTATGTAAGGGTACAGGCCAGCACCGTAGACGCGCTTGACAAATTTCTTAGTCCTTGTTTTGTGTCTACTGTTGCAATGGTAGTAATTTGTGCAACGTTTATTTATTTATTTTTTTTTTTTTTTTTGTGACTGCTTCTTGTTATTGAAATTCTACATAAAAACGGTAAGTTACATATTACGTTAAACTTAGAACAGCTTTTTAATTCAGAAAAGCGACGATTTGAGCATAATTACTCGAAAAATGTTTTTTTTTTTTACATGAACCATTTGTGTATTAAACTAAAAATTATTATCTTTCCAAAAGAAAAGATTCACATGTTTATGAAGGATCCATCGAATTTAAAATATACCTATTTGAGGTTTGAAGAAGTAAAAATATACAAGGTATTCTGAAATCAAAAATTAGACATTCTCCGATTTTTAGCTATATGGAAAACTGAAAGAAAATGTTTCGTTATTTCATTATGTCTTAAATACATACTTTAAATTTGATTTATTTACTTTAATAAACAAAAGAGTAGTACCATCTCCTTGAATTATATAGTATTAATCTAATAGTTTATATATTTTCCATTCAATGGTTTTTCAGAAGTAAGGAAAAATATTTCAAACAGTGACTTTCTGAGTGTTTTTAAGAAGTGTTTTATGCAATAGCTATTTTCTACTTTTATTTTTACTTCCACTTTTCCTGTTTTCAGTTTTCTTCAGATGTCGGAAGAAAAACAGAAAAAACTGTCTGAGTATCAGAATGCAATAAAGAAAAAGTAAGTGAGAGGAAGACTTAATAAACCAGAACTTTTAAAATTATTTAGTTTTTCAAAACCCAGGGAATATCCAAGCTGATACTACTAACACTAATTGTCTATCAACATCTCAACTACCACTGAAATTACCAAAAGAACCTAATAAGAAAGTGTTTTCACGCAGGAATGACCTTTAACTTCAATGCAGCCGGTTGAAAAAACAGATGAAATATTAGTGAAATCTACACTTTCTGCAGTAGATATGCATTTGCCTGTGCCTGATGATTCCAGATTATGCCCAAGTCCATTACTGCCATCCCAAGTTCAAGCCTTAATAGAAAATGGTCCTGAATAACCTGGTTTCGAATTTTAGTTTCCCAAAAGACAAAAATAGATGTAAATTTTTTTAGATGTACTTTTGTCGAATCTTGCCAAACAACAAAAGAGTTAAAAGGGATTAGCTGCTAAATTCTGCTGAACAAAATTCTGTTTATTGTTTTTGTTGCAAAATTTTTAACAGTTTCAGCAACAAAAAACTGAGTAGTTCAGAATTTAACGAGACGGGAACCACTTAAATGAGCATTTAAAACTTCATGAAAAAAATAAAAGGTATTTCTGGAATCTAAGTCTTTGGTCCGATTTCTTAGAACGATTATGAAAGAATAAAACCTGTTGATTCGGAATTTCAAAATTTATTAAAAAAAAAGACCAAGTATTGGCGCGATGTTATTGAAAGAATTATCTATGCCATTCAATTTTAAGCCAAACAAATATTAGCTTTCCGTGGTTCCAGTAACAAGTTATTCGAAAGAAATAATAATTTTTTAAAGTGTATAGAAATGATCACACAATTTGACACTATATTGTATATTAATAAAATTCAAACTCAAAAAATATGCTTCATTACCTTGAAGGTAAAATTCAAAATGAAATAATTAGCTGAGTAGGGAATAATATAAAGCAAATTTTTTAAAGTAAGGTCAAACAGGGAAAGTATTTTTCTATTTTACATGATTGTATCCCATCAAGAGCAGTTATTAATTTGTATGAGGTATCTTAATTTAGAAAATACAGACATGAGTTTGGAAGAAAGGTTTTTAGTATTTTGTGTTTCAATAGATATGATGGATGAATGACGAAACGCATTCTTAGTAAAGACTTTAGAGGAAAGTGGTTTAGATACTAGTAATTTACGTGGCCAAGAATACGAAAATGGTTCAAACATGAAAGGTAAACAGGTTTCGAGTAATTATGCTCAAATCGTTGCTTTTCCAAATTAAAAAGTTAACCTAAGTTTAACATAATATGTAATTGCACTTACCTTTTTTTTTATGTAGAAAAACAATAACAACAAGCAATCACAAAAAATATAAATATTGCACAAATTAGTACGTTTGCAACAGTAGACACAAAATAAGAATTAAGCAATTTGTCAAATGCGTTTACCATTACATACGCATCGGCATCACATATTTTAATGTTCAAATAAGACAGAAGAAAACGCCAGAGACAAAGTCCTACCCTGGTTATAACTTTCGGTCAAATAATACAGTGCGCTAGGAGGAAGGGGCACTCAGACCTGGCAAGCTTGAGGCTGCCTTAACACAGTTAAACGCCCCAAACTTTAGAGGCGATCTAAGAGGCCACTAACCTATTGGTCAAGCAGACGAGCTAAGGCTAATCTGAGTCAATAGGAATACTTAGCAACTTACATTCCACGTCCCCGCTCTGGAGAGATGGTAAAAACATCTGCCATTAACAAGAACCCCAACGCCGGACAGCAGAACGAAGTCACTTAAAAACTGTCAGACAGACCGGAACACCAATCTGGCCTGCTAACACTACATCAAGGTATGCAGATGTCGGCTTTAGGAGAAACCATGGAAGGATATGAATATGCAGTATTGAGGCTCCAGGCACCCACTGGAAACCTCAAGCAGTTTAAAGGCTCGCTGAATTCGCCAACTACACCGATGGGGGTGTTTCACCCCGAACAACCACGAATATCTGACTATATAGCTCAACCACAAACAGCCGTCGTTAGCAATGACTCCAGTTCTGTGGAGACTGATTTTAAACACACGTAGCCGAGACTGCCTAGGTACAGATCCTAATTAGTAGCTTCCTAGGGTTTTACCCAAGTCGAACCCGGGAGGGGCATTCAAATAAGACAAGAATTTTCCTGTTCAGACAGGCAGTGAGACGAACTGCTTGTTTTAATGATTGCACGGCGCCTTTATGACCCTGCGCCGCACGACGTTGCACCTATTGTCGGCACGGACCTGAATAGCTTACATAGTTAAAATTTTTTCAAAAAACCTTCATTTCAGGGGGGGGGAGGGGAATTAAAATCTTTATTGTTTTTGACTTACATTTTTACTTCTAAAAACACATATTGATTAACAGATTATAAAATATCATTCTAAGTAAATAATCTATAAAGTAATGTACAAATAAATATACATGATATTTGAATTTTTATAAATATTCAAAGCTGATTATTTTTAATAGTAAGAATGCTTTTTAGAAGTAGTTTTTCCTCTTTCAAAATTATTTAATAACATTATTTTTTAATTTTTAGTTTGTGTAGTCTTACAAACTGTTTGCGTTTTGCAAGTCTCACAGAATTCAGTTTTCATAATTTTGCATTCTGTGACACAATAATTTTTTACAATAAAAGGAAAATATTTTTAAAGGAGCATTTTTTTTTTTTTTTTTTTTTTTTTTTTTTTTTTTTTTTTTTTGTGTGTGTGTGTGTGTGTGTGTGACATGAAATTTAAAGAACTGCATATCCTGGACCATACTGACTTCACAAGCAGGAAATATTGCTGAATGTTGCTGTTATAAAATGATGAATTAATAAAATATGAGACAAATCCTAAATTTGTGTTGGTATGATTCCCATATGAGACTTTTTGTTATTCCACAGGTATTGTGTTGTCTTCCTGTGATGCATGATGGCCAGTGTTTTCAGTTTCATTACCACTACATGAGTGATAAATTTCTTGCTTTAAAAAATATCCCCCAATTTTTTAAAGTGTTACCTGAAATTGTTCCGATATTTTTTATGCTTTAAATTTTAAAGAAAAGTTGTCCATCCCTTGATCCTCTCCAGTTGTATGTGTTTCTAATTAGACAAAGTAATTTTCTTCCCATACACACTCAACTGCTATTCTGAAAAATTATTTTTCTAATAGCAATCTTTTTTTATTATTATTTTAGATATATATTAAAAACTAAAAATTGCATATCATGTAGAAAATTGTGTACCTTGTTACTCATTTAGAGGATGAAATAAAGGAACATTTTTATTGTTTATGATGAATGAACAGAAATATATAGAGTAATTACAGATATATGTAATGCGCTCACAATCAAAAATATGATTAAAGTGAAAAAAAGAACAAAACAAATTATATAAAATGTTTCTTATAAAGTGGAATAAGTGGGAAACAAGATACATTAAAGTTCCTCAAATACATTTTATCCATTACAAAGAATAATATATTCATCACAATTACAAGCCACTTCACAAAAAATATATTTGTGCTTATCGTGCAATACTTTAACAATACTGAAGAAAACTTGAACGAATTAATAATTACTTTAGAGTTGAAAACAGTTTTCAGATGTAAACTTATCAAGTGAAATAATTTCAGTATTACTGTATATGTAAATATCTGCAAATAATTTATCTGTAAAATATAATTTAAAAAATAAATCAGATTTCTGAAAACACAATTCCATTTTAAAAGAGGAATTACAAAGATTTTACAGGTAGTATAAATTATGGGCTTTAATCTCAACCAGCAAGCAAAACATCCATTATAAACATAAAAATATGAATGCACGGAAATAAATTGTAAGGAAAATTATATGAAACTAATATAAAAATACACAATATAGTATAGTATCATAAATACTAGCAAGTAAAAAAAAAAAAATCTTTTCTCAGCTATTATTACTTGTAGTAAAATCTGACAATTCATAATTATTCAGAAAAGAAATATTTTACTTATTCCCCAAATGAAAACTAATACAAATAAAGGAGCAAGAACCGTCTTGATTCTTACATGATGTATAAATCTAATTGCATAGTACTTAAATATCATTTCAATTCTTATTTTGAACAGGCACTGAAATACACATATGTAGACTCAAAAAGACTGTTTTTCAACAGTTCTTTACATAATTTATGAATTATTCTTATAAACTGCATAACATTTATCACCAAATATGACAACCTAATTATTCTTAGTATAAGATATAGTTCCTACTGATACAGAATAATTTCTTAAAAATGAATCTTATGCTCAACTACCCCTTTTTATTTTAACTTATTCAGGGGCTCCATTACTTGTAAATATTGCTTCTAATTAAAGTTACACCACCATAAATATCTATTAAAATACAAGATATAAAAATCTCATGTTGAAATTGTCTTCATTTAATATTCATATGCAAATTACTAAATGATGATGTGTATTTTCAGCATAATAACTCCTTAAGATTACTGATTCAGAATGGGCATATTGAAGATATAAGCCCATAGACTGGCTAACACTTTTCTAAAAATTGTTGATTGCATTTTTAAATGATTCTCATATGCAGAACAAAAGGTCATTTATAAGTATGCATAAGCCTGATATCAGAACAAAATCTTGTATGCCAATCATTTGGCTTCTTTTTTAAAAAATTCACTGTCTTTGATTTAGATAAAAAGTATTTAAATATCAATAAACTTGATATACACTATTGCAGATATTATTTTCTATCATCATAATGCTGTTAAATTTTATTCATATTATTTTTGAAATTTATATTCACTATCTACATAAAAAACTGTCAAATTTATTACCTTAAGTATCAATATCTATTTGTAGGGTTTAAGAATCAATGTTAGCCAGCTGGCAAATTCTCATCATACCAAACTACATTAAGATAAGCTACATGGTATAAACTAATTAATAGTAATCACTTGGAGCATCTAATTAGTATTAAGGATAAGCTCAAAAGAGCTAGCTCAAGTACACCCAATAACAATCACAATAAGTTCAGAATTCTTAACTTCAACTAATAATAGAAAAATAAAATAACAATACTTAAGTAAACAATAAATGGCAATGAATTTTGATGACATATTCTACAAGAATTAAAAAATATTAATAACACGATACAACAAATAGTAAAAAATTAAAACACAGGTAATTAACATAAACAAGCAAGAATTAAAAACATTTTTTTTTATTAATAACATCGAATTGCAAATGGGATACTGGTGCTCGGGCATAGATTGTCTTTCAGTTTAATTTGCAATGTCACTTTTGCATATTAAACTTTTCGATATCATGAAAATATTGATCATGGAATGTTACTGTTTAAGAGCTTCAAATGAATTTTTTGCTTGATTATGCATTTAAAATTATTATAATCCTAATAATTATTAAAAAATATGATGCCTATTTTTAGCAATTATAATTACTAGAGGTAGGGCATTATGTTTTCCACAAGACATATGAATTAAAAAACTACCATTTTACACACTTAGAGTGCCATAATGAAAATAAAATTTCAGAGTACAGACTGCAATTTTCTGCATTAATCAGAAAAATTCTAAAAGCTGTATTTTCTTAATTCACACACTGATACTGCCAGTTTTGATTATTTCAAATATTTTTCCAAGTAATTTTATGTCACTAGGAATGTATGATAAAAATGCAGAATACCTTAATTTCACTTCATCATCAACAGTTAATGCTAAAATTCTTTGGCCCACCAGTGACCGAGCGATAAAATTGCCAAACACAGGTAGTTTGTCTGAGGTTCGAATTCCGGCAAACGGGCTGGCTGCATGGGTGTTTCCTTGGTTTTTGCAGCCAGTTTCCCTTAGAAAGTCCATGATGAAGGCATTACTCCCCTTAGGCAGATTGTCCTGGAGTGCTTTGCCATAATTAAATAAACCAAGCCAAGCCAAAACTGAAATTATTTGTTTGCTATTTTCACCTTTTCTTTTATTGCTGAATTAGGTCTAGACATATATTTTTATAGGTAACTGAATAGACAACAATTAATTCCATATAAATAAAACAATACTCAAATTTTAATCAAAGGTTATTTTTGGACTGGCCCACAAGAGACCAAACAGTAAAACTGCTGAATAATGGTAGTTTAGCCTATGTTCAAGTATATGGCAAATAGGATGGTGCTTTTCCCATGTGCAACATTTATATGAGCCAGTTTCTTAAAAAAGTGCTTCATAAAGGCATTCTTCTTTCATTTGTTTTGCCATAATTCAAATAAATGAATTCAACCTTTTTGAAAGAAACTAATAAGAAAATCTGCCAACTTTTATGTATTTTTCCTAATCTCTTAAGAAAAGAGTTCTTTATGATTTTATATGCAAAATAAATTTTTAACAGATTTTGCAATTTTCTGTAGAGATGCAAAGAATTGTGATGATTTGCTTCTCTGTATTTTATTTTGATTATGTGATTTTGAATTTCATAACAATATTTAAATGAATATAATTATATTATTAAAATAATGCTATTTTGAAGGAAATTAACTTAAAATAAAAATTAATATTTTTCTCATTTTTTAAAATGTCTTCTTTGTGGCAAATTTCAGATATCTTTATTATGATATTTAAATAATTTGATAAATGTTATAAAGTGAAATTTCCAGATTATTATTTAGGAAATCCACAAAAAATTATATGCTGAAATAAATTTAATTTGTGTAACTTTTCATATTTTATAAGTGTTTATTCTCTTTATTGTTTCAAAACATTCATACATACTTGTAAATTTTCTTTAAAATTTACTTTAGGCACTCTTTTCTGATTTTTTTTTTTCAAAAATCTTCTGAATTTTATGCTCATAAATTGGTTGCTATGCTAAATGCATCTCAGTTTGAAACACTGCAATGCTACAGGCCATAATAAACTATATTGTGGGTCATAATAGTTAAATAATTTACTTTCATAAACTTTTTAAAAGACACAGTAGAATAAACATTAAATCACAGCGACAGAGTTGTAATAGCATGTGACATGTAGTAGTATCACATTTTTATTATTGTAAAAATTTCATAAGGCAGTATTTGAATTACACTGTCCTTTAAGTGTAAATACAATCTCAGAATAATAAAATCATATTCAATTTTAACTTTTGTTATCTTACAATTTTTTCAGAAATTTCTTCTACGCTTTGCAATTTTATTGAGATTTAAAAAAAAAAAAAAAAATCAAAATTTAGATTTAGTATTTTTGCTTATATGATGGAGGTTAATAATGTTAGATTTTAAATTACTAAAAATTACAGAAACTTAAGGGGAGAATATAAATTAAAGTTCGTTTCTCTAATATATCACATTTTTGTTCAACTTATCTATTCACAAATTTTCCATTCTTTATATTGCTCCTGTAGGACGTAAAAAAATTCTACTCTACAAGCCATACTTGCTGATGCATTAATAATATATGAATTGAGTTCATAACAATCATAATCAATTACAATCTACTGAAGTAAAAATTATGAAGTTTCATTTAAATCTCTGGAATGGTTGAGTTCTACAGTACAAAGAATTAACAAAATCTACCTTTTCTTAGGCACTACCTTGAAAATCCAATCAATTATTCAAACTCTAAACTCTGTGACTAACTGATCAAAATAATAATTATAATAATAGAATTCTAGCAGCAATCAAATTTATAGTATTAGTTAGAAAATGCAATACAATAAAGGCAGTTTAATATTTGCACCAAATGATAAAAATAACAGAATTTGCTGAATATACATAAACAGGCAGTTGTAACATATTGTTTAAGATAAAGACATTTGTAATTTTTGAAAGGAACACAATGTGAATAATATGCTAATTAAAATATCACTATTTTACTTTTATCACAACCCTCTTCAATGAAAACCTATGTAAAAAATAGTTTATTGACAGCAGAATTCGTATGAAACTCATAAAACTTTATATACATTTAAAAATTAAAATAAGAAATAGAATTACTACTATCTTTCTACTCCTTAACTATTCTTACAAGCATGTAAGAAGCATTCCTTTTAATTAATTTAATATTTCATGGTGCACATTAACTCCTTAAATTAATCCAGATATGAAGACTAAAGATTGTGTAGGCGAAAAGAAAAACATAATAATAATTTATAACAGTATGTACTAAATATTCTCCAAACTATAGAGTTAGGTATTTACTTGATTTCAAAGGGAAGGGGAGGTCAATAAACATGTACTGCCATCAAATATTATGTCACATAACATAGAAATCACATGAACACAAGCTGAATACAGTATTAACTGCAAAATACAAAGACAGTATTTTGACTAGAACTAACTGCTGTGATTTTTTGGGGGAGAGGGGGTTAGAAGTTAGACTTGTCACATTATGCTATCAAAAAGTTGCCATCTGTTGTTCTAAGACATAAATTAACTAATTATGTAATCTGAAATGTTATATTGCTTCCCTTCCTTCGGTTTTCTTATTTCACCTCTATGCGATAAACAACACTAAATTTTTTAAAAATATGAAAAAATTATAAACATTTAAAATGCTGAGTCAAATTTCTATATTAAAAAAATTACAAATGTCTTCAAGATACAACCTACGAAGATTCTAAACAGAATAAGGAAATTACACAAAAAGATTTTGGCAAATAATTAGAATGCTATTGAACAAATGCAAGATAATTTTTTTTAAAGTGTTCAAACCATAATTTACAGAATGTTTTTTAAATACAAAAGTTCACCTTTTAATCAGATGAGCTACAGCATTTCTTTAAAAATGAGCCAGCTAGCACTGCACTTATCCCAATGTACAAACTTCTCAATATAAGACTTAATAACTCAATTTTAATTTTCCCATCTCATATAATATAGAGTTGAACTGCAGTAATATTACATCACTGACCATACTGAAAAAAAAAAAAAAAGTCCTGAATTTGAAATAGCAATTTTAAAAATGATGAAATATTTTTATAAAAACCACACTTGCCTCATTAATTAAATTGTATAAAATCTTTCATATACATTCTGAGCTAGCATCTAAAAAGCTATACACTTTTATTTGTCATAGAAACTATAATATATAAATTTATTTATGTGTTAACACCATGCAGCTAGATATTTAAAATGCTGTATATGACTTAAGTGCTTAAATACCACAGTAGAATCACACAATTTGAATAAATGGAAAAGAGTTTTTATTGCTTCGTTGAAAAAGTACACATTCTGTAAATTACAGTTCATATTTTACATAAAAAAATCAGCTTTATGTTGAAAAACTCAGTTCTAAAAATGCAGAATACATTCAGAAGCTCAAATTTGTACACAAAACACAAGCTGCACTTGTGGCTGCTAACAACGTTGTGCAAAGGAGCAGAAAAGTTTAAACACTTGCAATTGTGAAAACAAACACTATATAAAACACTGTGATATACAAAACATCCTTATTACATAAAACATCACAAAGTGCAATTTTCTTGGTATTAATTACATAATTCAAACAGCTTTTGACTTAATGGAATAGAAAGCATTATTTGCTTGAAATTAAAGCACAGTAAAATTTAACAAAAGGGTTTACCAAGAAAATGAAGGCTTTCATCCCATAATTCCAAAATTGTGGCGGACAGATTCCTCCAGTCTTAGAAATACTGGTATTGATCTGCAAAAGCAAATCTGAACTGCATTCTACCAGCAGCAATGCATAACAAGACTTTATCAGAGGGCACTTCCTGAAGTGAGCTCAGCCAGGCTGCAAAGAATTATGGGATGCAGAAACATGTGAAGGTCAATGTGAAGACTGGGGATCACACTGCAATAACCTGACGATAGATGGATCACTCTTGGCACCTTCAATAAATTCATCAAGTGAAAGTTTTCCATCCATATTTTTGTCCATTTGCCTGAAAATTTTATCTGTTCTCTTTTCAGGGGTTGATTCATCTTCTGGCATTTTCATGACAGAACCAACCATTTTGTATATGGCCTGCAGAAAAACATCATAACACTTTCAAGAAAAAATACTTGTATTGAAAAAAATATCAATTCATATAAAATTTTTTAAATACTTTCATCCCTACTATGTCTTCTGATCTATCATCAATGTATTTTTGTGCTTTTAGACTTTTAAAAAGGAGGTTGTCCAAACATCAATATACAATCTCCTTAAACTTTGGAAAGCTGTTTGAGAACAATAGGATAAACTACCTCTTCCGATATTGTCTTGCAAATTACAGTGTATAAAGTTAGAATACAATAAGGGTTATCAAATAGAACATTATAACATAAAAATTTTAGATAAAATATTTCTGTAATTACAATGAAAATCGTCTAAAAAATGTTTGAATAGAGGGTTGGTAAGAATACTGGTGCAAAACCAAAAATGGTTATACTGCACCGAAACCCAGTTTTATTCATTCTACTTTTCTTGAAACCATATAAATATGAATTTCACATAATGCTGAGATAAAAGCATGGATAAATTTCAACACTCAGTTGAAATATAAAACCAAGTAAAATAAAAAATTAAATAATAAAAAACATAATATTTGTTAAAATATACATTAAAACAGAATAACTGATATTAAACCAAATCATATTAAGTTAAAAATTGTTTAGATTTTTTCTACTTACATTCCTTCTAACACAGTATATTTTTTATATGTTCATAAAGTTTCTGGATGACTTTGGAGAAATAAAATGTTGGAATGCTCTTTTAGTTCCTGTAACCTTTCTCTAAACTTTTATATTGCAAAAATGATTAATGCAAAATTTTACTTTAGACAACCTGCAAGTTTACCAATTTTAATATGAAATGACCCATAAAAGTTATTTTTAATTTGCAACAACAGAAAATTTCAAAATAAACGCACTTTATGAAGATTTGGGGAGGGGGGAAATTCATGGAAGTTACATTCCCTCTCCCCCCAAAAGAAAACCGTTGAAAATATATGCACTGCATGACATAGCAACAAATATCCATTAAGTAATTAAGCTTTTTGAACAGATGTAATGAACTCTAATCTAAGCTTTTTGAACAGATGTAATGAACTCTAATCAGAGTCAAGACTTCCATACTACAGTGTTCTTTTTTATTTTACCTTGAGTTATAAGTTAAACACTTATTTTCATCACTAAAAATGATTTGTTTAATAAATTAAGATCAGCACTTCCCATTTTAATCAAATTTAGTTTCCTATCTTTTAAGCCACAACAGCAGGTATATGCAAATTTAAACTCCGTAAATTCAAACAAAAATTTCCATTTAAACTTCCTTTCATACTGAAATGATATTCTCAAGGGAAAATTAAAATATATTAGCAATCATCATCACTAATGGATTGATGTCTTTGAAAAAGATCAAGCTTTAAACTGTGTATGATACTAAAATAATTACTAATTAAGACCATATAATTATCATTTCATTAGATTTGATTCTTTTTCTTGCTGTTCAAACTGGGTACATGTATTATTGTCATCACTAAGGAAAGAAGTACAAAAATTGTATATTAAAATATGAAGCACTGCCAACCCATATAATCTAACATCTTGTATCCATACTCATCCAAGCAGGAGTATATCTCTAAACATAAACCTTTTAGCTTTTCAGTTATTAACTCATATATCGCAAATCCATATTCAGTACATACTAAGTGATAGTCAGTACTTTTTGATTATCCAAAACCCCCCAACAAAAAGTTATAAACTCATTACCAACTTTAGAGAGTATATGCAAATACATTGGCAACTAATTTTTGTTAAACCATGCATAAAAGGCAACAGCCATTTTCAAAACATTGGTGCACTAAGAATTCCTCAATATAAAAGCAAAATAACATTGGAAAAGCAAGAAACATCAGCAATAAAATGCTTACCTTTTTCAAGAAATCTCTTTTTTTGTGCTGTTGGTCTCCCTATGTTCATAGCGATATGTTTTTCCTTAAAGAAATATCAAAGATTTGTGTAAACTCAGCACTGTGCATTGGCCAGAACAGATATGTGCTACATGCATACCTATGTTACATCATAAATACCTTTCGGCAATATACTGTTTTGCCTTCAAAATACTTTTGTGGCATTTTGGTGAGGAGTGCAGATAATCAAAAAAGTACTGGATATTCTTAAACACTACTATAATGGCAGTTTGAAGCAGCTTCATTAAAACGTTATTAAAAGAGTTCTCTTCCAATAAAACGGTTTTTATTCCATTCATAAAAAAAAAAAGCAGCCTGAAAAGGTAGGTGATTGAACTGGAGGTGGATTTTGAAGCTGTCTCAAAAACAGGGTGAAAATGAAAACTTATAGGTCCTGCAGTTTCATGTTAATTTTGAAGTCATTTTAAAGACACGGCTCATAACCATTAACTACTCAAACCAGAAATCCACTAACTAAATTTACCTTTTAGTCATAAATACTTATAGGTAAAAATATAATAAACCAGAGGTTCTTTATTCAGGTATGCATTACACATTGATTTGTCTTGGTCTTTAGAGTGGAATTGTTTTTACATCTCAATTAGCAGTAAACTGGTTGAAGAAATGCTTGAAAGGTGAGGAAAGATTATAAAACTAAAGACCAAGAAACCCTTAAACCAGACTACCTCAAATCCTTAACATTTCTGTTGATGGTATTTGAAAAAAAGTTTTTCAGACTACAAGAAATTTTTTATTGCTTAATTACAATTTCTTGACAGTTAATTAATGTATTTAAGGTGAATTTTGACCAAATGGATTTGCTTTACTATTTAATCAAATATGATGTATTTCATATTACATGTGCCAATGATATCATATATTCAAATTATGATGTCATTTATTTGTATATTATGTATTCAAATATATGCATGATAAAAATTCTTGGTAAATTTGCCAGTGTATCAAGCAACTAGATTTTCCATTACGGGGGGGGGGGGGGATTCCTTAAATAAATCAGTAATTCAAATAGTAAATAATTGATTATATTCTTCAAGATTTAGTTCATTAAACTACACTTGCACTATTGTTTACTTGCTTCAAATAGGTAAACTAATTAATTGCTTCAGACCTTGGGGTGCAATTTAATATAATTAAAAAAATTAATTTATTTGAAAAATATTTTACTTGTTTTAATAATATAATTATTACGTCAACTCCAATAAATAAGTATTCAAAAGTATTTTAATTTGTATATTGCATAAATACACATTAGACACACTTCACTTTTAAGCATAGACAATTCTAGGAAACTTCTGTAAAGATTTTGATATCAGTTTGTTTGGAAGAATAAAACTCAAGCAATCACGATGATGGTTGAAAAATTATCCTGTATTTATACATTTTCCAAATTCAAACAACTGCATATGCATGAATTAACAATCCTGTACAATAAAACAGTCATATTAATAAGTGAAACATAATTATGAAATGTGATAATAATTACATGGCAATAGACAAATTATATTGCATTCATAATTACATTGCAGACAGAATGAAAATGGGCCCCCCCCCAGTTTGAATAAATTAAGGATTTGCTGAGAGATCCTTCTTAATAGTTTTTTGCTCCACAGATTTATCTTTATTAGAGTAAAATAAAAGCTCCCTCTTATTGATCTTGCTTTTGTCCAAGATGTCTTCTGAAAAGTGCAATTTGCTGTTTGAATTTTCTAAATTATAAAAGAAACTTCATTCACTTGCTAGAATTGATTTCTCTGTAATGTCTGACCTCTTAATGCCACTAATATTCTCCTCCTGTTGTGAAGGCAGATATGGTTTTATATGCAAACACATTCACAGATAATATATTCATTGTAGAATTGCTAATTTTTACATGCACTAATGTTTGTAAAAAATGAAACACCATGAAGGAATTGTCAGAAATGAATCAAATATATTCCATATATTACTGACAGTGGTACAATTAAATGATCAAATTTACAAGGAAAATAAAAAGGCTGAATATTAGAAATCAATTCTTGGTGTTTCCGCCACGCTAAGCGATGAGAGCTTGTATGCATCATGGAATTGAATTATACAGATTCTGAATATAATCTCGGGGAATGGCATTCCATATAGCTTCAACTTGATGCTAAAGTTCAGTCTTAAGTCTTAGTGTGTGCCTCAGCTGTATGAGCGAGTAGCCGACAGATGTAATCCTAGACATGCTCAATGGATGACATATCTGGGGAAATAAGCAAAATTTGTGCAGTCTGAGAAACAGGTGTAGGGGCATTATCCTGCTGAAATACAGTACCCAGGATGCAGAGAACCTTCGGCTCCACAACTTTCCTTATATAGCAATAACTGTTGAGGTTGCCCACGGTCTGCACTAGGTGGAATTGACAATTATACCCAATAGCTCCCCACATCATGATTGCCAGACGTTTGTGCGGTATGATGCTGGATAACATTTCCCTCTGTAACGTCTGACGCTTACTCTTCCATCATTGTACTCCAGACTGTAGTGAACTTCATCAGAGAAAACAACTTGCTGCCACAGGGCATGCCACACACTGTGTTGCTGTGCCCATTAAAGTCGGAGGCAACTGTGATTCAGTGACAGGGGAATCCTGCATAGAGTAACCCTTGCACGCAGTTCATGCTGCAGCAGACGTACTGTGGAGCTACACAACAAAATACCTCTAGCTGTGCTAACCCATGAGAGGACGCTGTACGACCCATGACAGCCATTTGGATGAGGTGTCTGTCGTCCTATGTTGTTGTGCTACTGCATGCCCCACTGCCAAGATTTTGCCTAGTTTGATTCTTCTCTGTCCATTCTTCCAAATACACATCACTGTTGTGGCATTATGCTTAGAAAGACAATAACAAACAGGCTATCACTCATTATTCCTTATTGGCTATTGAGAATATGTAGAGTATGCTTTTGTCCAACTTCTATATTTTCTCCATGTGGTGCAGGTAAAATCTATTTCCTTAGAAACCCAGAAGAGTTTTACCAAATGAAGTGCTGTCATCTTCTTTGGCTGCCATTAGAACCTCATCATACAAT